GGGAAAGAGATGCCGAGAACGCGAGCCGCGTTGCGATATCCGGCTCCGGTTCTCGCGAGACAAAAGGACGATTTTTCGATACCGGCGATACGCGGGTGATCTTTTGGCGGGAATTCGTTGGCGCGCTCCGATCCGACGCTCTAGTGGGGGAGAAGCGCTTAGGACGGATCGACGAATCACGTCGCAGTACATCGTCGTCGGTCAGTTGCGCGGCTCCGTTACATTCTCCCGGTAAGTTAACTTCATATACGTGCGCGTGTATGTGTCATGTAAATCATAAGCGTATGTATATCGACGACGACTCGACTTAACGACGAACCGCCGCCCTCCGACGCAACAGAGAAGGAGGGAAATTCTCTCCTCGCTCGAGAAACGGAGTAGCACATCGCTGCCGGCCGGCCCAGCGTCATAGAGGCAAGAGTGGTGGCTGTGTAGTTTCGGCGGGGCGTATGAATGTGTGTGTGTGTGTGTGTGTGTACGCGCGCGCTTGATGGCGGAGTACGCGGAGAGAGAAAGAGAGAGAGAGAGAGAGAGCACAGCGGCGCCTACTAATATACGACGATACGGCGGCGAAGCGAGCGAGAGTCGGGAAGCGTGCCGAGTGCACCACATAACGCGAGTCGACGAGTGAGAGCGAGTGGCGTAGCGAGATTGGTGCGTTTGTGAAGACCACAGCATCCCGCGCGACACGATACGGTACGGTACGGTACGGTACAGTACGATACGATACGGTACGGTACGACGCGACGCGAGGCGACGTGACGTGACCGCGAGATACCCGCCGCCACGCCACGACGCGTGCAACCAACCGGCGACGCAAAGGAGCCGCGATATCACCCTTTGTTCTCCGCGGGGAGGAGTAGTGTGTGCCGTACGCGATATTTTCTTCGTTAACGTGAGTGAGGTGAGTGTGACGTGCGTACAACGTATCTTTCTCTCGCGCGTCCCTCGAATGAAATTTATTAACGGAACACGGATGTATATTTATTCGGGCGATAAGCGCGCGCGACGTAAAAGTACGACGGAAAATTCGCCGGATCCGTGACGGATGTTTCCGCGCGTCCCACGACTGCGTCGGGTCGTTACTTGCAGAGATATCGGCGGAGGTAGCGGGGCTCGATGCGCGCCTTCCCACCGATCGGGAGAGACGCCGCGGAGGCACACGCACACGACTCGCGACGCCATGATTCGCGCCTCTCTTGATGGCGTCCCCGGCGAGCGCGAGCCGACGCGAACGTCTCGTCGCCGTGAGTTTTTCGGCATTTTGCCGCGCGAGCCGACGATTACGCGGGCGCGAAAAATTCGAGAAAAAATCGCCGATCGCGACGGGCGCGTTTTCGTCGCGGGAAACGCGCGGACGTTTCCGCGTGGCGCGAACGTCGTGTCGTTACAGGCTCGATGTGGCCGTTCGCAAATTTTGAAAATGGCGGGCGCGGAACTTTTGGGGAGAGACAGAGCCATCGCGCGACGCCGTTGCCTCTCGACGTGTTGCTTACGATATTCATGTCGGTCGCGATTCATTCATTTCACCTGAGAAATTTTACTCGTCCAAAGTCTCGCGGGACGAATAAATAATTATTAGACCGTGAGTGTAAATTATATTTCGATCGCACCGCCGCGAACGCCATATCATTGCAGCTACGAAGACAGTTTTTACAACGCAAATTATGCGTACGCGCGCCGCCCGTAAACTTGCGAGACGCGCAATTGATAGTACTGATTTTCGCGGCGAGTTTGCGCATCTCTCTCTCTCTTTCTCTCGTCGCGATCCCCGATACTTTGAAGCGCGCGAGAAGAAAATATCGGAAGATCGATAGTCATGTTTGCTTTTTTTATTTTGTTTTCTGTTTTGTTTTGTTTTTTTTTTTTTTTTTTTTTTGAGATTCGAGACTCATTATCTGTAGTATTTCAATAACAGCGATACACAACTTTGTTTTATCGGTTCTTACATATAAGGTTAATGTATCTTTGAAAAGATACATTCACATTTTACATATATTTTATGCTGTATATTTATATGTACGTATATGTATGTGTATGTGTGTGTAATATAGTTGCACAATATATTTGCTGCTATACTTTTCATTATTCTTTTTACCGATATATGGCACTAGTTTTGCAAGTTGAAGAATTATCAGCGAATAAAGAACATAATTTTTAGTATCTCGATGAAAAATATTAAATCATGTACTATTTTTTTTCACATGAACTGCACACAATATACATGTATACACAGATGATTCGGAATTCTTCCATATTCTTTGTAGTTTATCTTATTGGAGATGATACGATCTGAAAAGAGAGAAAACATTGTATGAGATAATCAATATTATTCTTATTTTACAGTGAAACAGGACAATAAATATGTCGGACGACAATTCGCCTGTGGTAGAGGAGCAAAAAAAGAAGAGGGGAAGGCCTGCTAAAGCAGATAAGAATGCAGTTAAAGAGCCCAAAAAGAGGGGTAGGCCCGCCGCGGAAAAAAATAACGCGGTACGCCCAGCGAAATCTGATAATGAGGATGACGCGCCACCTGGACCTGTTAAAAAAGGAAGGGGTCGACCTAAGGGCTCCCACAAGAAGAAGGTACATAGCAAACACTTGAATATTAACATCTATATATAATATTTCAAAGAATATTAGAGCGTAATTTCTTTCATATAATTATTAAAGATATTATATAATATTATCTGTGAATATATATGCAATAATAAATGATTATATTATATTTACAAAGAAATTGTATTAAATTTACAGCAAGGACCACCAAAAGGCACAACTACTTCGCCACGCGGTCGCGGCAGACCGAAAAAGACAGAAGAGAAACCTGAGATCACTGGCGAGGATGAGGATGAACAAGAAGAGGAGGAGGAAGAAGAGGAAAATTGAAGGAGCATCTTCGGATGTAATAGGGGAGGATGAAACTAACACAGCTGACCTATCCTTCGAAGATCTTTAAACAAGTCGTTTTAATTAACGTTAAGTTCTTTCAAACTCTGTGTTTTTTTTATTCTAACTTGGGAATTTTTAAACAAATGAAGTGGTGGGTACTGTTCTATAACTAATTATTGGAATTTTCTAAAAATTCTATAAAATATGGTGTACATTGCCACGCACTGACAAATTCAAAGAGAAACGTAGGATACAAAAGTTGTGTTACGCCAATTTATTAAGTTCTTTTTATATTTACTTGACATTACTACTATTAATAATTAATGAAATCATACTTTTAAGTGCTAAGTTTACGTGCGTGTAACTTTTTTCAATAGTAAAGGACTGGATTAAAATACAGATCTCAAAAACTTTTTTTAATTACACGAAAAGTGAGATTTGATAAACTTATTAAAAAAAATCTCACAGTATAGATAGTATTGTCACATATTTGCTACCTCCTTTTTTTCCTACATATGTGTATTACACTTCATGAAGCCAAAAGAAAAAAAAAGAACTTCATACCAATCTAATATTGTAAGAGATAGAAAAAGATAAAAAAAATACTTCTTGTATGTAACATATGCAGGGACTATTCTTTTTTAATTAATAACACTAATATTTGTCGATTAGTGTTCTATTTCTAATTAATACATTTTCTTAATGAGTGTACATTACTGTCGTTTTTGAGGCAAGCATATGTGTGAATGTCAAATTTGTATTAAAGTAAATAAACTCAAAGTACTCTTATTAATTCTGCGTTTATATTTTTCCGAAAATTTTAATATATTTTGAGAAAAAATTAATTTTTTGATACCTTGCAAAGTTGTAGCGATATTTCTATATGAACAATGATATAAAATATAATTAACTTTCAATTATATATGTGAAAAACTTCTCTTCGTTTTTAAAATTTATTCGTGCTAAAAAAGTTACTTTGAATGATGACAAAAAACGAAATCCAAAGAAATCAAAATGATACCATGAGATATGAATATGATTAAAATATGTTACATATAAATAACAGAATTGTGAAGAATTTCATATTTATATTTTTTACTGTGAAATAGCGTAAAAATCAATGTCTATGTACATAATATTGATTAATACTTTAAAGATTGCAAAAGTGTATAATATTCAATGTTGATTAAACGGTTCAATGTTGAATAGGATATGTTTGCAGTCTAAGTGAGATTGGACTGTAAGAAGTGGTTGAGGAATTGGAATTATTAAATATATTTCTAATATACTATTTTTTTAATAAAACTTTGATTCTTTTAAAGAATTTTTATATAAGAAAAAATATTGCTTTTAATTTGAAGTTGTAAATTCTACTAATGCTTAAGAACTTGGTTCATATATAGAATAATAAATATTAAATAATAAATATATAGAGTTTATGATAGTCATAGAGCATAAAAATGATTCAAATGCCATGCAAAAAATGTGCTATTAATGACCACTGAACAGTTCTGCATTCTCTTCTGTATCCATAGATTGGTATCCTTGCTGTAAAATTAATCAATTCTTATTTTCGAAGCACTTGCATGGGTCGCAAGTGAAGACAAATCTTACACACTCGTCTCTGATGCGTATTGTAGCATTCATCCAATAGTTCAGTCTCCCAGTCGTCCTCTTCCTCATCTCCGGGATCAAAGTTATACATTGGCATAAGTCTATGCCTTAAACGCTCCAACTTGCGCTTCCTCGATATGATTAGTACCTTTAAGGACGAAGTTATAAAAGATTAAATCACAAGAAATCTTATTAATACCTAACAAAAAAAGCAGGATGTAAAGCTTTGCTAAAGAAAAATGTTTATCAAAAGAATAGCTGTCTCGCATTTATATATACTTTTTTCTCATAAGACAATAAGAGAGTTATAACAAAAGAAATTTTAAAACATATGCAGATTTACACGATGATATATCTGTCGAAATAATTTTCAATGATTAGTATTTAGAATGCTGTATGCTGTATATTTTTCTATTACTAGTGCTGTGTTTATAAACAAAAACAGGGCAGGGGAAAAAACGTCACAAGGTAATGATAAAAGTGATATCGCTACCCATACCACAGCTGATAGTATAATAACAGAGACGACCACACCAAGTGGCACAAAAATATATTCTACTCCTTCCGGCGGACCAAATTCATCGAAGGATTCTGTGGTTGAGGTGTAAATTGCGGTACTTTTCGAAGTATTAAATGGTATCGCTGTAGATCCAGATAGTGAAGTTACAGCGGTTTTAGATATATTTCGTAACCACTGGTTACTCTCATTTTCCTGTGTCAGTTCTACATACGTCGTCATGGACGTATTCTCGTTGTAAATTGTACTCGCCATGCCTGTTGAGACTGTCCCAAGATCGTTCACCAATATAGTGTACAAAATAGAGTCAGTAACATCCGTCGCATTGATCTCTCTCATATCATTTGTACCATTATTCTCGTGCATCTTATTATAGGAAGCTTTGTTGTTAATTATTAATTATTAAGCTGTTAGAATTAGTTGCACCAAATGATCATAGAAAATTCTTTACAGATGTGGCACATATTTACAATTTACTCCTGCATTAAGACACATTGTTAATAAGATCTATATATAAAAGTTTTTTTAGTCAAGTTGTCATGCATAAAATAAGAAGCATTTGCTCCTCTCGTTATTTCCCCGGGATTGGTGTTATATATCATTGGATTATTGTGTATCGAGATAGATCTACGTACGTAATCTAGATTTTGTGCAAGATGTGAGTATCACAAGTCGACTATCTTTTTACAAGAAACACTCTGTCAATAGACACATGTACCCTCAACGTATTCCCCGCCAGTACCTGCGATAGCTATACATATCATGATCGCCGTAGATACTCTGTCATACTTCTTTGAATATATATATATATCGATTTACGCACGTGTTGACGAAGTGGTCACCAACGTCAATCAGCTCCAATCATAGCCGATGGTTTTATCAGTTCACACTACGACGACAGACAGATAACTTGGAGATATCGGCTTTATTATCGTTAAATGGCAAGAGATCGCGTCGTTAAATTTTTCACAGCA